AGACAGAGGCAGAGGTGGGGGCCCACAGCCTCCACCGAGCAGCACCCAAGACGTGCCGCCACCAGCAGAAGCCAGGGGAGAAGGGCGGCCCAGGCTCCTCCTCTCAGCCTGGGAAGGACCCAACCCTGCTGGCACCTCAGCCTCAGCCACTCACCTCCAGCATTGTGAGCCAGTCACCTCCTGTTGTTTAGGCCACGTAGTTTGTAGTACTTCATTAAAGCAGTCCCAGAAAATTATCAGAGGCTCTGTCTCTTTTCTTACCATGTACTTAGAACTTTGAAGGTTTAAGTTGGACACGGCTGGATTTTATCTTGACTGGGAATGGTGCTGATGCCCTGGACAGCTGAACAAATATGCATATAGACATGTGCCTTAGACCTAAGCTAGTGAGCAGCTGGATCCAGCCATGCCTGAAGTTCCACCTCTGACTTGGTGGCTCTGTGACCTATTAGATTCCCACTTTTACTTAAACTGGTTAGAATTGAATTTCTGTCTCTTACAGCCAAAAGAATCACAAATGACTTGTTCTGGTAAGCTGTCATTGGGATGAGCTGATAAACACAAAGGCTTTAGAACAAAGGACTTGAATTGTTCGTCAGACTACAGGAAGGCTGCGCTCAGTTCGGGCAGCACATTTCTCAGAAGGGAGTGGACGGATGTGAGCAGAGAGACTGGGTAGGGAGAGACCTGGATGCTGAACCACGGGACACGCGGGAGGTGCTCACCCGAGGCAAGGAAAAAAGGTGTCGAAAAAGCGAGAGATAACCTCCCAAACCCACAGGAATGACCAGGGAAGGAAGGGCTGGGGTTCATCTGTGTGACCCCCCAAGGACAGAAGGAGGAAAAGCCACAGGAAGGCAGATTTAACGCAGATTTTCCAGTGTGCTCTGAGGGCTCAGAAGCAGCAGTGAGAAGCCCCCCGGAACCCCAACAACACAGCATAGCAGGTGTTCCTATAGCAAAGGGGACTCCGGTACCTGCTGCGCCTGCCCACTGGGCGGCTTCTCTGGATGGCTTGGAGTTCCTCTTCACTTTAGACTGATTCTTTTCCTAAAACGCAGGTGAATTTGGACACATCCTTTCTGATTAGCAGGCCTCAGTTTCCCCATTTGTACACTAAGGGACTTCAGACTTGGTGCTCTCTAAACCTCCTTCTCGCTGGATTTCGCAGCTCAGCGGCTGTGCAGACCCCTGGGCGGCGCTGGGCTCCCTGGAATGTGCAGCACACCTCTCTCGCCCTTGCTCTGAGATGTGGCCCACACTATAGATGTGGGGCTCTTGGTGTCAGGAGTTCACTAAGCGGGGATCAACTTCCCCGTTCTTTTTCCCTGGGCTTTAATTAAATCACTGGGTCCACAGGTGACAGTTGAGGGATGATATTAAACCTATGTCATAATCAGTCTAGCAATTGAGTTTTTCAGCAGTGGCTCCTATTGGACACACTGTACCTGACACCGAGTGGGTAGTTAAGGCACGGATAGGATGAAAGATTAAAATTGCATCGCAATCCCTTGGAAGAAGCTGGGATTTTGATGGGGAGCGAGAGAGGTGGGACATGCAGCTGATCCCATAGCCCCGCGCTGCCATCTTCGTTTCAAGCGTCATCGCTGGCAGCACTCGTCGGATTGCCAAGTGCACTTGCGCCAGCTCAGCCTCTGGCTTTGATATTGCAGAGAAGCTGAGCAAAGGAAAACGTTCTCCTCGTGTGGCCCCGCGTGGCTCTGGGTGGGGCCCGCACAGGAAAGAGATTTGATTGTAATCAGGAAAGAAATCAAGAGGCAACTACAGGAGAGTTTCCATCCGCGGTGGTAGGAAGGAAGCCTTGAGACTGTGTTCAACAAGGAAGCTTCCGGCCATTGGAGGCTGGATGACCTTAGCCTCCACTGACTGCCTTGGCCTAGTTACACTCTTCCCTGATAACCCATTATTTCTTTGAAATCAACGATTAGTTCTTAAATGTGATCCTGGTACCCACATGAGCAGTAAAGCCATCCACGGCAAACCTCCATATCTTGGTATTATATTGAGGGTTTTGCCCACTGCAGTAAGTAAACCCGTGTCTCAGGATGGAAGAATTCTTGGAGACTCAGGAAGCCATGATGTTTTCTCTCTAAAGATACGAACTCTTCACGAAGAGCAATCGTGCGGTCTCAAGGCATGCAAGGCCCACGCACACCCACGACCTTGCAGTGCCCCACCCCCGGAGGCGGGGGAGCTGGGATTACTATTTGCAGTGTGCACATAGGAAAGCTGTGGTTCAGAGAAGGCAAGTGTCTTGCCCAAGGCCACAGAGCTGGCCAAGCGGGGTCAGGGATGGCGCCCAGGTGGTCCTGGTTTGATTCCCACCAGGGGCAGCAGACTCTAATCCCAGTAAAAGCAACGGACACTTTAAAGGCAAGTAGCTCCCGATCTTGGGCACTTGCTCACCACTTCCTCAGACCAGTGGTCCTCCAAGTGTGGCCCCCGACCAGCAGCATCAGCACCACCTGGGAACTTTCTAGAAAGGCACATTCGTGGAGCCTATCCTAAAGGTTCTGAAAATCTGGAGGTGGAGCCAGAAACCCGTGATTTAAAGCCATCCTGGGGGTTCAGACTCACATCCAACTTTCAGAGCCACGTGCTCAAGACGGGGCCCGCTCAGGAATCTGGGAACTGAAAATGCAAACTCATCACCTCCGAATCCCATTAAGGGAGGGCCAGAGTCCAAAGCCCTGAAAGGCTCACGAGGAGTCCAGGCTGCCTCGGCTGGCTCCGAGGATTCAGGAATAAAGAGCTGCTCACACTCGAACCGGCCCAGCCCCAGACGCTCCGCTGGTCACTCAGCACTGGTTGCAGAATCCAGCCCAGCTGAGCCATGCGGCTGACAGGGTGACCAGTTACTCTAATCCTGTAATCTTTGGAAAACAAAGAGCCAAAGTCTCCTGGCTGTCTGGGGTAAGCAGAGGAGGCCTGTGGGGTTCTGGTTTCATCTGTGTGCTGCCGGCTGGACTCTGAATGTGGCTGTATGTTCCTTCCACTACCCACACGCGCTCCCTTCTCGGATTTAGGCGTTCTGCTCAGGGAGATATTAATATGCAAAGAAAACAAACAGCACCAGAAGGATGGGAAGTACAAAGAGCCAGTGATTATTAAAGTTGGGCACACCAGAGCGGGTTATTTTTCTCACTCTCAGATGGACTGGGAGGCCCACCCGAAAGCAAAGGAGGGCTGCCCTGAGAGGATTCTCCCATGATGCAATGGTTCAGTGCCAAAAATCTGTCCATAGGATGACTGCCACGGACGATGCTGGGAAGACACAGACAAGGCAGGAACATTGTAAGGTAGGGCAGTTTAGGGCAAAGTTGAAAATGACACACAGAGAAAGAAACAGAGGATTTTTGCAAACAGGCTGTTTGCGGGTTAACCTTGGCCTATGGGAGAATTTTGTTTCATCCACACCTGGCACAGTTCATCAGTTTCATGTTTTTAAACATTTTTTAAAATATTTTTAAATTTAGGAGGCAGAAAGACACACAGGGAGAGCGCTCTCTTTCACTGGGGCACTCCAGCGGGGACCAGGCTGGGCGGGAGCCCGGAGTCAGGAACTCACTCCAGGTCTCCCCTGTGGGTGGCAGGAACCCGATGACTGGAGCCATTGCTGCTGCCCCCCGGGGTGCACAGCAGCAGGAAGCTGGGGTCAGGAACCAGAGCCAGGTACTGAGTGCAGCTACTCCTGCGTGGGACATAGGTTTCTTAACTGGCGTCTTAACCACGGGGCTGAGCGTTTGCTCCTATAACAGCTTCACTTTCAAAGATGATTTTTTTGGCCACTGAACAAAAACAGGGAGATTCATACATAACTTCTAGGTAACTCCTTGTATCATAAACATACCAAAAATCTGGCCATCGTGAATCCACCTACCTCTGTGGCTGGCAGTATCTCCCAGTTCCTGTCCCAGCGGAAGCTGCCTCATTGGTTGCCACCTTACCCCGGCAAGCACTGGAGTGTGCAACCCCTTATGTAAGCAAACTGTGCACGTATAACCAGCTAGTATTGAAAATGCAAACTGGTTTGAGTTCTAAACTAACACAAAATTCTTGTCATCCGGGCAGTTGCTTCCCAGTGACCAACTGGCAATGAGATGTGAACGGGAAACGGGACTCTTTAGAAATCTGAAATCGCTGATCCAGTAAATGTTCACATTCTCAGGAAAACCAAATGAGAGACATAACCACCTATAAAATTACCGTTGTCAAAAGAAGCTACCGAAACGATGTGCAAACTTTTGTGGTCATCTGTGTATTTCTTTCCTACTTCTCTGCGTGGCTCTGAACCCCGTAACGGCAGGGGCTTTGCTCTGGTCACTGCTGAATGCCAAGTGCCTAAAACATTGCTTTCTGTGACTGCAGGCACTTCCTAAATATTTGTTGAGTGAATAAACAGGTCATTGAACCTTTACTTGGGCTCGGCTTTGCTCCAAACACTTACAAGTATTAAGATCCAAAGGCTCCCTTAGGAGGGAGACCCTCTTTAACAATAAGGAAAGGAGATGGAGGGCAGGACGCCAGCGTGCCTAACGTTGCCCGGTTGGCTCGCGGTGCAGCGGGGAGGGAGGAGCAGGCATCCCACAGGCCAGACCCTGGTCTGTGGCCTCCACCCCCCACCCCCACGCTCTTACCGTGACTGCGTTTCTTGAGCTGGAATTAATAAACTCAAGGTTTCTGGAGCCAGCCTCGGTCTTAGAATCTCTTTCTGGTGCAAAGTACTCACCAAGAGCTTGTTGAATTTGTTATTAACGTTTTTATTTCTCTGAGAATAAAAACCGAAGGGCGGTTAAAGAGCCCCCGTCAGCTCATGAAAAGGCAGGCGGTTATAAAGTCAGACACCCTCTCAGGACCCTATTTTTGCTTCTTCCTTAAGTCAGTCACTCTGCTTTTATAGGTTCCTGTTTTCCCATCTATAAAAATTAGGAAAACACTTTTTCCAACATCCTTTCCATGAGGACATTTGAAGGGCAGCATGTACTGGAGGAAAATCAGAACACGTAAATATTTATAATAACAAAATGTCTTTTATAAATCGGAAGCACTGTTTCTAATTGACCCCCTCACCGTTCCCACCAAGGAAATCGCCGAGAGAGGGACGAGGACTGTTAGCACCACCACAGCGAGGAAAGGGGGCCAGGGAGACTCGGATCCCCGCCCAATACTGGACCCAGGCTGGAACCAACCCGATTCTGCTGGGCCAAGAACAGCAAGGGAAAGTGGGGTGGCTCAGGTGTGCTCGGTGGGCTGGAAGAGACAGGTATGTGCTCAGCCACAGTCCCAGGCACGGTGCCCCCAGCCACCACCACGTGAAGACAGAAGGGTGGTTCCCAGGGCAGGACTGGAGAGGGAGAAGGGCCCACCAAGAGGGCGTGTCCCAGGAATGATTGACAGTGCTGTTCATATGGGAGCAGAGACCCCGGCAGGGCTAGGAAAGGGAAGGGGAGTTGAGGTCTTAGCGCCTTACAGATTTCAACTTCTTTTTCCCTAAACAATTGGAAGACTAGGAGGATTCGCCCCTCAATTATCTATTTATTTTAATAGAGAGATACAGAGATGGATCTCCCATCCATGCCCACAGCAGCCAGTTCTGGCGGGGAGGCCAGAACTCCATGTGGGTCTCCCAAGTGGGTGGCAGGGACCGGTGCGTCCTGGAGTGCACATTAGCAGGAAGCCAGAATGCGGGCAGAGCTGAGACTGCACCCCAGGTGCCCTGGTACGGGAAGCAGGTGCCCCAAGCTGCAACTTCACCAATGCGCCAACACACCACCCCCTGGAGGACTCCTTAGAGGAAAGAACTTGGACGTTGAAGGTAGAGAGTTCCTAGGATCAAATCTCAAAGCAGCATCTTTTGGTTTCCAAATGTCAAATTCTGCCCTGATGTGGCCCAGAGCTTGGCACATGGAGGCTGGCAGTCCCCAGGGAACAGCTCCTGCGCTGATCCCCCTGGAGAAGGGCTGGGGACAGGGGCAGAGCCGGGGCAGGTGCAGGAGCTGAGAGCCTGGGCGGTGCCCTGCTGTGAATCGGTACTCGTTAGTGCTGTGAAACCGAGTGCCACTTGCCCCTCAAGCTGGTGCTGAAATTCAGAAACGTCTCAATCAGCCAGTGCACGGGGCTTTGAAACTCTGTGTTGATTTGCGTTTGAGGGTTTCATACAAAGAGCTCTCACTCTCTTCAGATTTGCGCCTGCCTGTAATTGGGGAGACATTGCAAGGGTCTCCCTCTCCGTGCTGATGCCTCCCACCCTCCCCCCACCCCGAATCACCTTTCAAGTGTGTCTTTGAGGCTTCTCTTCCCAGATTGTTCAGGGGAGCGTTGTGTGAATAGATAATCGCCTTCCCACGCCGCAGCCCTTCAGCCTCTGCCAGCCTGGCAAAGCGTCCCCGGAATCAGCTTCTGATGTGGGAAGACTGGCTTCGTCGGGATTATTTTTGTGAGATTTGCAGCCTAAGACACAGATTCATTCAAGGGGAAACAGGCAGCTACTAACCATTAGACAGAAGGAAATAAAAAATTGTTCCTTAATACAATATTTATCGCCCATTCAAGAACAAACATCTTTCTTGCACAACCCCTATCTTCAACAGCCCTGGAAGGCTCTTCTGTGTCCCCCGTTGTATCCATGCACACAGTGACAATGTATTGATGCTGGTAACAAAGATACAGATGTCTTGAGAGATTGTTCTGCCATGGTTTGCCTATTTTGTCCTACTCATTGCTTTTTTCTGGATCGAGATATTTCAGTGGTGGAAAATAATCCCTTTCTGGGCTCAAGCACAGCTCTTCGTAAGCAGCATTTAGGTACCTTCAGAGCATGTGTGCTTGGGGCTGGCACTGTGGCATAGCGGGTAAGGCCGCCGCCTGCAATGCCGGCATCCCGGTTCACGTCCTGGCTGCTCCACTTCCGATCCAGCTCTCTGCTATGGCCTAAGAAAGCAGTAGAAGATGGCCCAAGTCCTTGGGTCCCTGCACCCATGTGGGAGACCCGGAAGAAGCTCCTGGCTCCTGGCTATGGAACAGCTCAGCTCTGGCCATTGCAGTCATTTGGAGAGTGAATCAGCAGAATGGAAGACCTCTCTTTCTCTCTCTGTCTCGCTCTCTCTGGCTCTATGTCTCTCTGTAATTCTGTCTTTCCAATAAATCAATCTTAAAAAAAAAAAAAAGAAAAAAAAGAAAATAGAGCATGTGTGCCTGAACACGAGTATTTGCGTCTGAGCACCCAGAGAAGGAAGGTGACTTTGCTGGGGTAAACTTGGGTTCCGAATGTTGGTGACACTGACTTTGCTGATGCGACTGGCAGTTCTCGGAGGTCGGCAGGGGGCAAAGGGTGGCTGCCTAGGGCTTGCGCTCCTGTGGCCGTGCCTCACCCTCGCCCGGCCATTTTCAAAGTGCTGGAAGCTGGGCTCAGGCCAAGCATCCCACTCTGCCCAGAGGCCAGAGCTCTTTCCCTTCACCATGGTGGTTGTGGGGAGCCACCCCTTTACCCCGCTAGCCACAGCCACCATTTTGCAGTGCTACCTGTCCCAACCTGGAAAACACACCCTGTGCATGGGCTGAAGTCAGAAAGCTCGAGGGAAATGCCTGCTACGGAAAACTGTACGGCTTTCAAAATGTTTTTGTATCAAAAATAACATGATCATTTATTTCCATCTTGCCATGAACTTTTTGGTGTACCCTTAAGTATGCAACACCTGCACGTAGCCCGTGTAGAAAATCCTCTCAGCGGAAAGAATTTTTAGAAATCACCCATCCCAGCAATCACACACTGGATGCCAGGGACAAACCCTGACCCCAAGTGTTTTGTTTATAACGATTTTAAGCATGATTGACAAGTAAGCTTTGGAAGCGTTCGCATTAAAATGTGAATTTTGGCTTCTCCGGAAAAGTCAAGTCTGGCCACGCTGACCCTTGCCCCCATGGCCACATTCGGCAGGGGTTAGTGAGAGCTGTCCACTTCCCTGCACTTGAGCGCTGCACTGCCCCCGCAGCTCCATAGCTCCCTGTTGTCATCCCGTCAGCGCCACGCCTGTCACTTAGGTTCCCTACGCGGTTCGGCAGGCATTGGGGACCCTGCAAGAATTCACTGAGTCGCTGGCCTTGTAACTCATGCCTGGGGAAAGCATATAAATGAGGATACTTCAAAAAAAGTTTGCGGAAGATGGAATTAGAAGATAACTTTAGTTCGGTGCAAGAGGAAACATTGGAATCTGTGCATCCAAGGGGTCTTCAGAGAGCTGGCGGGGAAGTGAGTGTTATGAAAAAGCTGTGCAGGGATTTCGAGATGGTTTTTCCACAAAGTAACCTTATCTCTCAGTTTCCTTTTCTGTGACCTATTTGAAGTAGCCTCCTGGGGAAGAGGAGGCGCCCCTCGCCCCACTTCAGTGTCCCAGAGCCACCAGGGCTGCCGGGTCCCTGTGTCTTCCTGGGACCCCAGAAAGCATGTGCAAGCTTATGACATCATCGCCTTTTCAAAAAACACGAATGCACACAATATTTTGCCATTTTGCCTAACAATATATTTTAGGCATCATACCTTAACCTTACCTAGAGATCCATCTCATTTCCTCCAAAGACTGCATAGCATTCCTTTGTGTGGATGAACTATAATTCATGTAACCAATTGCCAACTGATGAACAGTTAGGTTACTTCTCATCCTTTGCTATCACAAGCAGTGCCTACTTGTGCCTACTTCTCTGTGCACTTGAGTGAATGGATCTACAAGAAAAAGTCTTAGAGGTGGAACTGCTGGATCAAAGAGGATACACCCTTTAAATTTTGATAGATATTGCCAAGTTCCCCCTGTAAGTACGTGTGCCAATTGACAGACCCGCTGACACCGAAGAGGCATGCTCCCTAGATTCAGGCCCCCATTTGACAGGGGAGGCAATGGAGGGGCAGAGCGAGGGAGTGGCATGGCTTGTAGCCAGCACAGCCCAGACCTGAACGGAGTCAGGCAGGCAGTGCTGCCCACCACTCACTCCACTATGGCCCAGCTCCTCTGCTGTCGGCCTCCCTTGGTCGGAAACTAAACCAAGGGGCCCCGGCACTGGCTCTGGGGTTCAGCAACTGGATCCGGCCCAGCGTTGGAGGAGCAGGTGTTCTGATAACAAACATGTCCATCATGACTGGCACATGCTGTCACCTTGCGGGGCTGGCTCAGAGACGAAGGCCAAGGATTAAATGGACCATGGAAGCTGAATTACCAGCCCAGCCCTTGGTGGTTTTTAAATTATAGATTTTTTAAACAAAGCTAAATAGAGACCAATTAAGAAATGACTCCACATTCTACTCCAAAGAACAAAATAGCAGAACCTGAGCTTAGGCAGCACATGCATATGCTTGTGGACTAGGGGACAAACAGGGGCAGCTGGGTAGTGTGAAATCCAGACCCCTTCCCTCCGTCCACACAGCATGGCCCATGCATTCCAGCCTCAGGGCCTTGGGATGTGCTGAAATGATTCCTCTCCCTCATCCTGTTCTTCTTTCACTAACTCTTTCTCTTCCTTTAGAATGGAGACCATCTTAGGAATTCTTCCAATTCCTACTTCAGTCGCATTTGATCCTTTCTCGTAGCTTTCGTGACAGCCAGCCATTTTTGCATGCGTTCACTTGTTCTGTTCTGATTCTTCTACTGCAGCCCGAAGTCTGGCTGGCTCATCTGCACCGTGGTAATGGAGTTTCCACTCTGCCGGTGGTGAGACTCAAGGCCAAGTCATCCTCAGGGCTCTCCTCTGCTTTGATCTCAATAGCACTGCTGATCTGACTGATCCATGCCCAAAGACTGAGAAACAGGAGGGCCGGTGTTGGAGGATCCAAGAGGACCCAACTCAAGCAGAGAGCAAATTCACCCTTCCTCTGAACTCCCTTCTACCTGGGCGCTCAACAGATTGGATGATGCCCACCCATGGAGGGGAGGGAGGACCCCCTTTGCTCAGTCAACTGATGCAAATGCTAACCTCTTCCAGAAACACAGACATATCTAGAAAAAAAAGTCCTACCAGCTCTCTGGGTATCCCTTAGCCCAGTCACGTTGACACCTACATGTAAGCAGCACAGAGAGTAAGCAACAGAAACTGACTCTGCAAGAAGGAAGCAAGCTATTTGTTACCGGGAAGGCCGCTGGGACTCAGAGCCTCAAGCAGAGCCAGAAAGAGCAGACTTGGAGTCACCAGCAGCCCACCAGTCTCAGGAGCACCGGCTGCAAAAGCGTAGCACAGCTTGCCGGCAGAGCGCGTGGGAGAGCGCCCCACATCGCTACTTGTGGCCACTGGCCTCCCTGGGTGCTGCAGCCACCTGCGCCAGAGACCAAGTCCAGGTAGCTGTGCCAGACCACTGGCTCCACCTGGGTTCACCTCTACCAAGGCCATGGTTAGCAGAGGGTGGGTTTGGCTCATTCAGTTTCCATACGATGGGACATTCCCCAAAAGGGACGTCAAGTTGCTTTTAGGAAGGGGAACTTGGATTCTGGCTAACAGCAACAATAAAACAATGACGATTTACCTCCTTTATGCTCATCAAGATTCTTTGCTCAAAAATGGAGAGAGATGAAAATCCACCCCCACCAGGGTAAATCTATTTTGTTGTTCACAACGAAGGATATTCAAATGATCCTTATACAAAAGATGCTCAGTTGGACTCCTAATAACGAAAATGCAAATACAATTGGACTTGGACACCACTATCTCACCTATCACTTTCCCGAAGCCCCAAAGCTTACCAACACACTGGAGATGTTTCAAGGGAAGAGGAACTCTCGCAGGCTGCTGGAGGGGATGTGAGAGAGCTCGCCTCCTAGCGTAGAGTGGCCGCAGTCAACGAAGCCACGTATGCCTCTACCCCGGCACGCAACCGACCCACTTCTAGGAACGCACCCAGAAATACAGCTTTCCATGCGCATAAGGCTCTCTGCTGTGACATATTTTTGTCATAGGAAAATATCCAGAACAATCTACATGCCTGTTCACAGAGGACTCATTGAATAAATATTGAACAACCATGTGAGAGACTACTCGACAGCCACAAAAAGAATGAGAGGAATCTCACTACACTAACGCAGAGTGGCTACCAACAAATATTGGGAGATAACAAAGCAAGGTGCAAAGGCCCACGTAGCCTTGCAATGTAAGTCAGTCACTCATAGAAACAGAAACCTGTGTGATGCCATTTATATGAGGCATGGTCTAACATGGTCAAGTTCACAGAGGCAGTCAGGAGAATGGTGGTTTCCAGGGGCTGGAGGAAGGGGGAAATGGAGAATTGTTTTTTAATGGGCACTGAGTTTTCATTCTGCAAGACAAAAAGTTCTTGATTTGTTGCACAGCACTGTGTACTTTACTTATTCCATCACATACTTCAAAATGCTAGAGGTGCCAAAATTTTACCACAACTGAAAGTCGCTAAAGTGTAAATAATATACTACTTTGGCATAAGAAATAAGAGAAAACAAGAAACACATAGTATTTGCTATTTTTTAAAGATTTATTTTATGTGGTTTGAAAGTCAGAGTTACACAGAGAGAGAAGGAGAGGCAGAGAGAGAGAGGTCTTCTGTCTGCTGGTTCACTCTCCAATTGGCCGCAACGGCCAGAGCTGTGCTGATCTGAAGCCAGGAGCCAGGAGCTTCTTCCGGGTCTCCCACGCGGGCGCAGGGACCCAAGGACTTGGGCCATCTTCTACTGCTATCCCAGGCCTTACAGAGAGCTGGATTGGAAATGGAGCTGCCGGGAACTGGTGCCCATATGGGATGCGAGCACTGCAGGCGGTGGTTTTACCTGCTACACCACAGCGCCGGCTCCTGCTGTGGTGTTGTGTTCTTTTATCTTTCTTCAGGTTGTCTTCCAACCAACAAAGAAGCCCAGGTGAGATAAATCAGAAATGAATGAAAGTTATTTCCTATGGAGGTAGTTGAAGAAAAAGTGTAAAGGCAGAAGGATGGGAGGGAGATTTGAATATCCTCTTAAATAGGATTTGACAGTTAAACGTTGGGACTATATTTAAATAATAAAATTAAGTTTCAAAGACTACAAAGAGCATACCCTAACACCAAACACCACCAGAAGCGAATGGACTGAACTGCGCATGGCAGAGGTAAAGTCACCACACATTCCCCGGAAGAGTCATTGGCTCAACTTTTTGACAGAGTTTTCTGACTGTTCACCATCTATCCATGAAAAGTGTATAAAGAAATCTTGAGCTTGACCCAGCACACTTTTTGTTGGTGGGGACACTGCTGCAGGGGTCCTGAGATGACGGTGTGTGTACTGGGGACAGGAATGTGTGACTGCATCACCGGTGCTGAGACGTGGTGTCTCATGTGAGACAGTGAGACAGGGAATCCTATCCAGGACTTAGGAAAGTCCCCGGGAACGTGAACCATGAGCCGCATGACGGGCACAGGGTCCCTGCCCAACCTGCAGCCATGAGCCTCGGGGGCGGGGCTCACTTCCTCCCCACTTGCAAAAGTGCTCGCCTTTGTCTTTTCTGCCCCAGGACGAACCCAGCCTTCTGTTCCAGTTTCCACAAACTTTGTGAAGCCCCCTTGCAGAATCTGTGATTTGGGAACTGAATTGAAAAGGTGTCGTAAAGATGCAGGAGCTGTCATGTCACCTCGAGCAGAAATGACACGAAGCCAACACCGGCTGCATGAGATCTCCGTCCTCCGGCTCCCACGTGTTCTCAGCACTGAAACGTCGAGAACAATTCTCGACCCCTTCAGTGTGGCTTTTCCTTTCCTCTTGGAACCTCTTCATGCTCTTCTCTGATGGTCAAAGTGCCAACCGGCTGGGTCCTGGGTTCCCATGTAGTCCAACACACACTAACCTGGGGATGCTGGGAAGGTATTTTGTAGACGCAGTTGAAGGGAGCTTCTCCTGGCCCATCTGCAGGGACCTGACTTAATCATGTCGGAGGACACGAGAGCAGGATGGATGCTCTCAGTTCCCACACCAGTGCCTCCCACATCAGCAGCACCAGAAACCTGTTAAAAATGCCAACTCCCAGGCCCCCCATGCCCAAGAATTCCACCCTGTCCTTCCTGACCGCTTGTCTTAAGCCCTTTGGCCTTGCCTAGCCAGGCCGTGCACCACACAGGCCAGTTTCTCGCCATAAACCTCTCAATACGATCTTCTACCAGTTCCGTTCCTCTGATGGAACCCAGACTGATGTACCTTCTAGTAAACTACTTGGTCCTTCTCATCATTGGTTTTCTGGTATGGATCATTAAAGAACCAGGCCCCATCCTGCGCCACGGCTCAATAGGCTAATCCTCTACCTTGCGGCACCGGCACACCGGGTTCTAGTCCCGGTCAGGGCACCGGATTCTGTCCCGGTTGCCCCTCTTCCAGGCCAGCTCTCTGCTGTGGCCAGGGAGGGCAGTGGAGGATGGCCCAAGTGCTTGGGCCCTGCACCCCATGGGAGACCAGGAGAAGCACCTGGCTCCTGCCTTCGGATCAGTGCGGTGCACTGGCCGCAGTGGCCATTTCTCTCCCTCTCTGTCTCTCTCTCTCACTATCCACTCTGCCTGTCAAAAAAAAAAAAAAAAAAAAAAAAAAAAAAAAGAACCAGGCCCCAATCAAAGCACAAAGTTGAGAATGTCCTGGGGAATTCCTCCTGTAGCAGCCTCTTGGCATGGAGAGACTCAGGCCTGACCTGTACCTGCCATGAGATGTGGTCTCCATGTTTGCTGACGCCTCCTCCTTTCACATTAGGGCACCCCATTAGAATCAGTGATGGGCTTTAAGGCCAGCTGGTTTTGGGGTTCCTGCCTCTGAGCCCAGCTAATCGGTCTCAGGATTTGTCAGCGGTCCTGAAATATTCCGCAACAACTGCTTTAATGAGTAGAACAGCTGCAGAAACAGAGAGGGGCCTCCCTGGGGAGGGGGGAGGCAAGGGTGCCGGGTTGTCCTGTCATCCCCTGGCCAGGTCTCAATCTGGACAAAGAAAGAGCTGGAGACATTGTGGGGCGCACTGATAGCCGGGCAGTGCCAGGTTTCAGGCAGGAAGGGGCGGGAGCCCAAGGGCGAGGCTGCTGAGTGCCATGGGCCCAGAGAGGCGGACTCGGTAGGTCTGGGGAGGCAGCCTAGGTTTTGCTTCGTTAACAACGTCCCGGTGTTGCCGATGCCGCAGGTGTGGGGACCCAACCGCTCTACGTTATTAACAGCTCAGCAAGAGACGGACGTAGGCGGTGGGTGAAGCTCATCACGTCTCGGGCTCATCCGAGTCTTTTCAGAACAGAGGGTTTGTGCTGAATTTCTGGCCACGCCTGGCCTGTTTGGGGAACGCATTCAGAGGCCCCTGGGTCATCCGTTTGAGGACCTCATTGAGGAAGACCCATGTCCCTGTCCCTCGATCCCAGTGATGCCTGTGAGTGACCTGTGCCTGCCACTTTCTATCTGCACATCACCGTGAGCCATTTACTCTCTCTGACCTCAGTTTTCTCATCTACAAAATGGGAAGAACAGTGGTAACCACCGTGTGGGCTACTGAGGATTCCATGCCATTGTGTGCATTGCGTGTGGCTCAGAGCGAGCAGCAGTAGCAGCAGGAAATAGAGTGCCACTCAGGGCCTGCGGGTGGGGAGGCTGCAATGCAGGGACCTCCCACAGAGAGGGCAAAAGCGATTCCAAAATCCACGCCTACGAGGGGTCTTCAAAGAGTTGATGAAAAGTGCACCCTGTGAGAAATGACACATGGCTTTCAAAGGAATTTTGGGTCAAAATAGGCTTATCTTTTACCTCCACTTCCCCACACACTTGTTGAAGTCTCTGCACACGTTCCAGCTTCCCACGAGGACTCCAGAGGACTCCAGTTTAGGCTTGTCGTATGTTGTTTTGCACGCAACGGCATTGCACATCTCAAAAAGATGTTTGCACCGACACTCCCTCAGATCCGGTCCTATTGAGGAGACACATTGTATGGTCATCCTAGCTACTAGCCAGGATCAAAGTATGTGAGCATCTACTCTGAAGCAGGCAAAGAGTTCCAAAGGCAGAATCGTGGTCCCCAGGGTACATGGTTCAAGGAACGTTCCTCTGGTGGACGCAGGCAGGGGTCCCCGGGGTGCACCCAGTCATACAGAAAAGTGCAGCCTCACGATGTGTGTGCTTTTCTGGATTCGTCTTACACAGCACTAAAGACATTTATTGTTTTCAAGGATCCCAGGCACATGACCCTCCGAAACTATCAGCTTAGCTGGGCCCAAAGCACAGACGAAAACTGTTTCCCCAGTAACATCTCAGCGTCTCTCTGAATTGTGATACAAAAGCCTCAAACCCAGGAATAGGGGCAGCAGGTGCACCCGGCCCGTGTACGAGAAATCCCACAAGGATCCAAGACAAAGTTAAGCCCCCATCTCCGAAGAATCCACCGCACACCTCCTACCCACTTGTTTTATCTGTTTAGCAAACTCACCCCACACCTCACCTCCTCTTTGCGCCTGCCATCTAGAAGGATCTTTGAAATTTATTTTCTCCTTTTAGCTTGCTGTATTTTTAATGTCTGACTGAAAGAACAAAGGCAGGCGAACACCAGACAAGATCGTTTCATTCCTCCACGAGCTGTTGTGGAGCCCAGCTCGAGCCCAGCTAACATGAATGTTTTAAAATTCCGTCTTCTGCTAGGGAACAAGTGCTGGTGCAGTCATCAGCTCCAAAGTCACGGCCATGGTTCTGCTTTTCATTGGGGCACATAAAAGCCACCACCACTCCCTCCCCCGCACCATCAATCATTAACAACCTATTTATTAACACAAGCGGCCCAGAGAAGTTTTCCTGGTCTGGTCAACCACAATGGAAGAAATTGCTGTCGCCCAGCTGGCTGGCACGCTCGTGACCAAGCCGCCCGGGCTGATTCCAGCCCCGAAAGGGCCTGCTCATGGCTCTTTCATCTCTCCCCGAGTAACAGATACCTGCCAGGCCTGCTCACCCCCTCCCCCACTGCAAAACGATCCACCTGCCCCCTGGGCTTCCGACAGGAAGAGCTGTTTGTGCAAGCACTGACAGTGCTGATTGGGTCCAAGCGGCGTGCGGGGCTGTGAGCTGTCCACTCGGTGTGCAGGCCCGAGCGTGGGTGGGGCTGTGTGTGCCACGCACACCACATCGGAGCCAGGGCAGCCTGGAGGGCGCGTGAGGAGACACTTGTCTGCCTGGTGCGTCTGACTCCTGGATTTAATGGATTTCGATTGGAAGCAAAAACCAATCAGCAGGAAGATTCTTAGCGAGTCAATCAGAATCTGGTTTTCTAAAGAGCTCATGCGGCTTGGATGACGCGTTCTAGAGGCTTCCAGACCTACAGAATTCTATTCCAGCCATTTTTTTTTTTTACTTTCTGATAAAATGTTCCTAACATCCAACTGACCACGTTGCCCATTTTTAAATGTGTGATTCAGTGGCCTCGGGCGCTCTCACACTGAGGTGCAGCCGCCACCACCGTCCGTCTCTGGGACTTTCTTCTTCCTCATCTGAGGCTCTGTGACTGTCAAACAGTGCATTCCCGTTCCGCCAACTGCAGTCCCTGGGAGCCCCCGCCCTGCCGCCTGTCTCCATGAGCTCGATGGCCCTACACAACTCGTGCGATTGAAGCCGTGCACTGCTGGTCCTTCTACATCAGGCTTCTCGCCCCAGCATGGTCCCCGCGAGATTCCTCTGAGGCATCCTGTTTCATAATGTCCTGCTTCTTTAAGGCTGAATAATAGTCCATGGGAGATGCGCACCACATTTTGTTCCCATTCATCCATTGGAGGAGATTTGATTTTTTTTCCTTTCAGCTGTCGTGAATAATGTTACTGCGCACATGGATATACAAATAACCCTTTCGTTTCTTGCTGGTGTACACCCAGAAGCAGAATTGCTGGGTAATGAGATAGCTCTATGTTTAAATCTTTAGGGAAGTGCCATACTGTTTTATTCATTGGCTGCACCAGTTTACATTCCCACTGGAAGTGCCCAAGGATTCGGTTTATCCACATCTTTACCAATCATTGTGATTTTCTGCATTTTTGTAGTTATAATTCTAGCTTTTTTTTTTAAAAAAAAAGGTTATTTATTTATTTGAAAGGCAGAGTTACAGAGAGACAGAGGCAGAGGGAGACAGAGAAAGGTCTTCCCTCTGCTGGTCCACTCCCAAGATGGCTGCAATGGCTGGAGCTACACCTATCTGAAACCAGGAGCCAGGAGCTGCCTCCGGGTCTCCCACACAGATGCAGGAGCCCAAGGGCTTAAGCCATCTCCCACTGCTTTTTCAGGCCACAGCAGAGAGCCGGATCGGAAGTGGAGCAGCCGAGACTTGAACCAGCGTCCATCTGGGATGCCGACACTGCAGGTGGTGGCTTTACTCACTATGCTGTAGTGCTGGCCCCTATAATTCTTGCTTTGATTTTGACACCAACTTACCACGGGACCTCCACTCAGCAAGCACGTCACTGGTCTCTGGACCAGCTTCCTTGCCTAGGAACCAGAGGCGGGGCTCCTCTCGTTGCAGAAACCTCCGACCACAGCATCTCCATCCCAGCCCAACACTCACGCTCTTACTGCCTTCCTCCCTCAGTGTCTCAGTTTTCTCATCTTGCAAATGGGGGCAACAGTGCTCACCTTCCCTCCCTGAAAGACCCGTTGTGCTGCTGAGTTGGGTCAAAGCTGAGAACGCAACCTCGGGGGTTTTGGAGGACTGTGGGACGGAGGAATAAAGGGCCCTGGAGGGGAACGCACAGGTGCAGCCTGCGCTGTTTGCTGGATTCCTAGACAGCCTGGGGTGCGAGAGGAAAATTCTGCTCCAGGGAGGGGCACTGACACTCAGTAAAACCCGGGCTCTGCCCCCTGTGGGTTCACAGCCTCGCTGGGGGGGCAGAGCAGTAACTAGACGAACAGACTGATGCTACAGCAAAAGCAGTTCAGTCAAGTAGCCTGCGCATTCAAAACAGCAGGAATTGAACACAGGGAACCGGTAAGCAATGAGCGAGGAAAGAAGCAGCCAAACGTGACATGTGCGGCAGCCAAGAGGGTCACCATGGCAGGATGACGGCAGCACCCACCAGCTGGAGAGAGGAAGGAAAAGGCAGGGCTTGAACCCAGCCGGAGGTCAGCCGACCCAGAGCCTGGGAAGCGTGGTCCACGGCATCCTGCCTCCGCCCTCTCCTGCCAGCGGTCAGAGCAGGGGAAGGACGGGAAACGGGTCCTCGGTGCAACTGGAATGAAGAGAAGTCCAGAAAGCCTTGAAGGAGGAGAGGACAGCCCAGCACGAGGAGCAAGGAAGGCGTCTTGGGCAAAGAGACAGCGAGAGCTAAGGGGAGGCAGAGAAAAGGAGCTGGGCCTGCTCGCATGATGAAGGCGTCCAGGTTGGTGCACGTCCCCAACTCCTGGCTGTGCAGGTGCACAAACCCACACCCCTGCGCCAGGTGCCCATCTCCTGGGCAAGCTCCCAGTCACTGTCTTAGCACTGGAGGGGTCTTAGGCTCTGTGGTCTCACCGTGTAAACCCGTGCCCACCCGGTCCTGTCTGACGCGGGAGCAGCCAGTTTTCTTGGTGGAGGCAGAGAATGCAGTGGTGTCGCCACAGGCCCAGCGACATCTGCTTCTCCGCCCACCCTGGAAGCTGGAAGAAGCAAGGGAGGCCGGGTCCTTCCAGAGCCTGGGGACAGGGCACGGCCCTGCTGACAGCACAACTTGGGGATCTGTGCGAGGAAACACTGCTGTTTATTTTCCATGACTCAGCCCATGGCGATGCACCATGGCAGCTCTAGGAAACCTGTCTAAGTGGACTTTTTCCCCACCGATGCTTCCCCGTTTAACACCTCACCCAGAGCATCTCAGCGTGGCAGCCCAGACCTGGTGCAAACTCCGTGTGATCCAGATGAGAACTGAAGGCCAGGCTCCACCGTGGCTCCCCGAACAAGTCAGACCTCAGTGCCTGACCACCTCTCACACCGTCCCCCACGGCTGCCCCTTCATTCTCTGCCTAGGAGAGCGAGCTGAGAACACACCAGGGCGGGGGCGGGGGGCGTCCCGGCCCTGTCCCCTGCCCCTCTCCCTGCTCCCTTCCCTCCTGCCCACCCTCTGGTCTGTTTGTCGGCGCTTCCCCAGCCACCTCAGGCTGCCCGGCCTTGTTTGGCTACTGGAGCCTCTGCCAAAATCCATATTTAGTTATTGAATGTTCCTTGCCCAGGCGCCTCTGAAGCTAATGATGGAATCTTTGAAAATGACATTAGAAGCAAAACATACACAGCAGAAGACATGAAGCTACCTCGAGTCCATCTGTTCAAGAGTGATCCGCTCGGAGCTCCCATTTCCCATGTAAAACAGGAGATATGATTTATAATTTATATCTCACCGGTACAACCCTGATGGAAGCAAAGCACTTTGATGCAATGTTGGTTTCATGCTAGTGGAACACCATTCCAAATCAGAGAATATTTACAGCTCTAACTCGTCGGCTGCCACTTTGAAGTAGGAAGATTTGTATTTTATGTGCTTTTCTGAAAAAAAAAAAAAAACAGAAAAAAGGAAAAACTACATATACTCCAACATGCATGTGGTGGAAATATGAAAACATTCACGTGTGAATCAGCACCAAAATGTAATTACTGCATTAAGCATTGAAAATATTTATAGACTCATATCTCATGTGGAAGACCTGGTTTCAATAATTCTCAGAAAATTGCGAAATTCATACTTTGTTTTCTTGGGACTAACTTAATTTATTGGAAATCTACAACACATGAAGGACAGAATCAAAGAATGTCAACCCTCCATCACCTCGAGTAATGATCTAATAACGACGTCGTGAGCAGGGGCCGCGTGTGCGCCTCTGTGGATTGGACCTTCACTGGGCGGGGAAGAGACAGGCAGAGGAACAGAGATGGAGAGAGTCTGCATTGGAGTTTGGGAGGTGATTCCTCCTGTTCTTACGGAAATGAGGAGATACCTATCACAACGTAACTAAAGTATCAATCAAGCTCAATCTTTTGCTCTCGCCATGACAAAACCAGCCAACTTACAGAAGGCAGGATCAGCAGTTGGTCATCCCCGAGTCCCTGGGTGCTGGGCATCACTCCGGGGACAGGCGGTTCTGTCATTTGGAATGTGCATTCCAGTGAAGCGTCCGGCAACAAACAAATATCGAACAAGCCCTTGTCACAGCCGTAATGACCATTCAGAAAGTGGGGTGAAGCACTAGGAAAGAAGGCATAGTGTTTCCAACAGAGAAGACTTTTCTAGAAACAGGACGTTCAAAGTCACCTACATTAAGTGAGAGATAAAACAGTGAAAAGACCTGGGGAGAGATCGTTCCAGACAGACAGAACAGCAAGTGCAAAGGGCCTGAGGTCAGAACAAGCTTGCATTAGAGGAGCAATAGGCTGATAACGCTGATGTGTGTGGAGAATGATGAACGAGGTTGCGAAGTGACCGCGAGGTCAGGGAGATGGGCTTCCCCGGCACCAAGCCCAGAAAGAGTGAGCCGAGCGGCTGCAGGCCAATTTCGAGCCACAGGAGAGCTGTGATTGCAGGCTTCTGCAGGTTCGAGGCATTGGGGGAGAAGAAATGCCAGACTTCTGATAACTGTGGAATCACGGTACACCTGGCAGACCTCGAGAGAGAGACAGGGCTCAAAGGGCTTGGCCTCTGACCCGATTTCAGCCAGGGATTTGAGGACCTGAGAGACATCCATTCACGGAGGACAGAATGGAAGACTGTCAACTTCCCATCACCTCAACCAAGGATCTAGCAAAGATGGCGCGAGTATGGCTTGTATGGGCAGGTCTGTGTGTGGTCTTCACTGGCAGGGCCAGCACTGGACATTGTACAGAGAGGCTCACATTCTCAGGGCACGGCAGGCATGGCAAGCTAGGAGCTGGAGGTGGTTGGGGCTCCGTGGGGGAG